CTCTACAAGAGATTCACTTAAGATGGCTCTTAAGTGTCCAAAGCTCTTTTAACCCATACTGGAGCCCCAGACCCAACTCATTTCATGATTCTTGCCTGATTATCATTGGTAGGAAAAGTTGCACGCGGCAGGTGGTCTTCCACCAACACAACATTTTAAATCTTCTTACCTTCCCCAAAGAGCCGCTTTAGTGCCTATTTGGCGTGAGGGGGGTCCGGACAGATGGCCCGTCTTTTCACGTTTGGAAAGGATGAAAAATGCTACGAGGGAAAAAAAAACCCAGTGATTTTTTCACTGTACGGCGCAGAGGGCTCCAAACCTCATTGGCCCTGGGAGAGCCACCACGTGGCATGGGATGAAGAGCACGTGACCCATTTTCTCCCAAATCCCTCGGTTTGCTGGAAAGGGGGATGCACCCACCGCTGATGTTCTTGTCATTGCAGTGGGCTTTGATTTTTTTTTTTATTTTTTTAAAGGCCACTGAGCAAATCAGGTTGCCTCAAGGCAATGAGGGCAAACCAGCCAACGCTTTCAACATGAAGGAGAAAGGAGGTCGGGTACGAGACGAGCACTGGGGTGCTGCCCGTGTGCACAGGGAAATTTGGAGATGCTTTAGCAGGGTACTGGCAGAGCAGTGCCTGCCCACCTGCTCCAGGGACAGAGCCTCTGGGAGGGAGAGGATGCACAGCAACAATTTGGCTGCTGGTGATGGGCTGTGCTAAACCATGCATCTCAGAGGCAGGCAGCAGTAGAAGGAAGGACCAGGCTGAAGCCCTGACTGCAGACCCCAGAACTCGGCTGGCTCACTGAGCCTTGGAGGAAGGGGATGTGTTACAACTGCTCCATCACTAAAAAAGCGATTGCTCCTGACGCCCCCGCAGGCTGATCCCATCCTCTGCTGCCCTCCCGGCTAATGCACAGTGGTTGCACCAACCACCTGCTGCAAGAGATGACAAGTCTCCTGCTTTGGAGGCAGAGGGTCCGCTGAAACAGCTTTCTTGGAAGAAGGACCAAGTGCAGTGGAGGGAGCATGGCACACTCCGGGTGGGCATCACCTGCTCCCACCGCGGTATGGCCATGCCAGGCTCCCTTTGAGCATTTCAAAGTGTCCCCCGCAGACACTCACCAAACCTAAAATGCAGCACAATTCTGGGGACGTTCTGCTCCAGAAGGGGCCCTGAGGCCCCATGGAGCAAGGCAAGAAAAGCCACAGCTCCCAGTGCCTGGGGGTCTGTCCTTGCCCCAGCTCTGTATTTCCCAGGGGACAGCAGCTCTGAGCCACCACATCCCAGACAGCCATGGTCCACAGGCCAAGCAGCTCCTGGCCTCCCCTTGGTAACCGCAGGTACCAGCCCATCAGCGTCAGAACACTCAGTTTGGGGAAGGGAAAAGGAATTTTTGTAGCCCAAGACATCCTCTTGTTTTTCCTGTCAAAGCTCAAGCCCATAGGTCGCACCAGTCAGAAGCTGCATTTTTCTGGCAACCTGAGTCTCCACCTGGAAAATCCCTCAGCTGTGCCATCTTGTCGTGCCAGTGACATTCGTCCAGCCTGTTCATCACCCCTGCCAATGGAAAGCCCCAGGCAAATCTACCTCTGGCATCTGCCCTTGAATTTCAGTGATGTTACTTCTGCAGAGCAGCTGTCCCCAGCCATCCTATCATCCAAGGGCTTGAGTTCTTCTTATCTAAGGGTAACTCCTAAGGCTCCTCAAAGAACCAGCTGAGCTTGGGCTTTGGTGAGAAAGCACAGCTCTGGCCACCTCCATGCCTTCTTGGCATCACCACCACGTCCCGACCTGGTACTCAGCCTGGCTGCTGGTTCTCCATCACAGCTCTTCTGCACGGGGATGGGAGGCATCAGGAGCACAGTCCCTATTTCCAGGTCCTTCCTGAGGCTGGACTGTCTCACCACGCTGTTATCGAAGACAGAAGTACAGCTATAAAACGCCCCAACGGTGTAGAGGAGTGCAGGGTTTCACCTGAAATCCTCTCTGGCTCAGAGGGTTACACTTCTCCAGCCACCAGCCAGATGATCGGGCATTTTATTCCAACAAATACAAGCTGAGGGAGAAACTTGCCATACTCAAATACAAACTACAGGCACAGCAAAAAGAGCTTAGCTCACTGCTTTCCCCTCTCACATTTTGTGATGGCCAACATGCAAAGGGAGAGAAGAAATGCCCCCCACCTTCACAGCCCCCTCATCCTTCCCCAGCAATGCCCAGCTAAATCTGGCTCCCAAGTAATCTTCTGAATAATTACATAATAGAAAGGCAGGCGGAGAAATAATTTTAGGCTGCTCTGTCGATAGAAAGCAAGCTGGATTAAAAGATCAGAACAAGCAATACTTAGATTAAAATGGTTTGTTATTTTCAGCTGCGTAAAATCTGTGGCTAAAGCACAGAAGATGTTGAGGGAAGGCACATCATCTTTCTTTCCCCAAAAAGAGCTGTGTACGTATTAGCCAAGGCAAGTTCTAGTTTTCCAACCTACGCTCAGGTTTTGCTTCCCAATGGGTCAAAGAAATACAATTTGCCAGTTTTATCTAAAGACGTAAGAGCACCGCAGAGATGCTTCAAGTTACATTTTGCTCTGCAAGCCAAGTTTGAATTGAACACCATCAACGCATCACTGCTTGTTAAGACATCAGACCCCTTGACTCAGGAGAATCGGCATGTGGCTCGGCAGACAACTTCATTACCTATGAGAAACGTGCCTCCTGGCACGGAGCATGTGTTTTATTGGCACCAACACCTTTGCCTTTAGCATGTGCCTCCCTGCACCCCTGAGCTGATGGCAGGCAGATGACAGGGTTCCTGGTGGTGGGGAGGTGTCCGTGCCAGGGAGAAGCCCATTAGACAGTGGGGTCACTCTCTGCAGGCGCCTATATGGCGTCCCCCTGGCCCCTAGCAAGGTCGGTGGTGCGGGGTGCGGTGCCAGGCCCCTCTCTGACTGATGGCTTTGGAAAGGCGTGAAGGGGAGGCAGGAAAGAAATGGTGAAAAGGGGACCCAGCATTGGGGGCCAAGCTCTCCGCAGGGCACGGCCGCTCATCAGCCGCATCCCGGATCAATGCCGCTAGCTTTGCTCATTCACCTTGAAGTTCAGATTAAGCAGAAGGGTCAAACTGGGAAATCATTTGCTGCTCGCAGGCACGTCCCCCTCACCACCCAGCAGCCTCATGTTGCACTGTGGCTAGCTTTTCCCCTTGCCAGCATGGTCAGTTCCCACCCGAGCACCTTGCTTGCCCCACAGCACCTCCAGCCCCCAGCATCAGCCGTGACCACTCATTGCATTGCCTGGATGTGTGATGGAGCAGCAGCAGTTTCCCAGTGCCAAGTGGTCTCCAAAAACAGAGTCCTCTTCCAGGTGTCCTTCACACCTGTAGTTTTTCTATAAAATAGTCATGGTCCTACATGCACAGGATCAGCTCTGAGTTCAAAGGATGAAATCCCATGGGGCAAGAGGTCCAAGACACAGCCTTGAAAGGGGCTTACCATTTAAAATGGAAACCAAACCTTCCTTTGCATTTTGAGCTGCTGGCTTGCACAGAGCTGGGCACCAGGCTCCTCTCCTGCCTGAGGATGTGGGAGAGGGGCCAGGGCACAGGTCTGGGTGAAGGGATGGGACGTTGGACAGGGAGCACAGGAAGGCAGAAAAATAAGGTCAGAGACCTTCCTGGAGGGAGGTGCGAGCTGTGGGATGTCATGATGTTCATCTAAATGATGCTTTAATAACCACTTATTGCAGAAAAGTGTCTTCACTAAAGCCAGAGAATAAAACGCACTTGCTGGACAGACTGGGGTTATGAGCACTTGTGGGAGGACAGTTTGGGGACTTGGTGCCAGGCTGGACACTCAGTCCCCCCAGCAAGGCCATGCCCTGGTTTTCCTGGAGTTGGCTATGGGGAGCCCTTCCCCAAGACCTGCTGTGCTCAGAGGGATGCCAGCAAGCGAGGAAGAAGCAGAGCCCTCCCTTCATTCAGCTTGTGGCCTCCAAGCTACCAGCAGGAAAGCCAAAACCGCCCTCCACTCCCCCAAAAACCCCTCTATAGATGGACATGTATGTAAGAAGCTGCCCATAGCACACAGGATCCGGAGACGGTGACAACAGAGACCTCAGATGATGTGCACTCAAAACCAGGCACAACCGGTACCCACCACATCACCAGTGACCTTGGACAAGCTTCTTCACAGGTTGTTGGGCAAGTTCTACCCTTGCTGCCCCTTACTGGGTCACCTGCAGCTCCTCTGAGAAACCCTCCATCCCCTTATCCAAAATGCACCATCTTGTCACAGGTACAGGGTGTTGCTCTGGCTGGTGTCTCCCAGGGTTTTAGGTGTGGAAAACAAGGATTAGCAACATTTTTAAAATGAAAGGGAGAGAGGAGAGGTGGGTTTGTCTGTCGCTACAGCATTTCTGCTTTATGGAGCTGTCTTCTCACTCAGAGATGTGTGTCCTCTTCGCTAATGGAAAATGTTGTCCCGCCATCCATTTGCGATAGTCAATGCCTAGGACAACACGATAGCCCCAGGCCAAAGCAGATCTATTTTAGTAACAAAAGCAGAATGGCTGATGAAAATGACCCTGTCTATGCACTTCCCAGCTTAGCTCTTTAGCTGGTTTTAATGGACCCCTGTGACCAACAGTGGAAAGCGGGCAGTTGAGTGCAAGGAGGGCAGAGGCAGCAGGATGGGAGACCTGCACGGATGCAGGACTGTGCTGGCCCCTTCGCAGAGAGAGGTCCCAGCAGCAAAACACACCTCTCATAGAAGCCATTAGCAGGATTGCACTGTGCAGGGAGCAAAACCCCCTTCCCTTTTTTGCCCACGTCACAGTATTGCCCCTCACATGGGGCTGGGTCGCTGCAGTGCAGCAATATCCCTGTCTGCAGAGCCCAACCACATCCTCCCTGCAGGCATTTTATAGCCTAAGAGAGACTGTGGTGCACCTGCAAAGAACCCACAGGATTTGGAAAGGGACTGATCTCACCTTACCTTACCCTGCAGGCTGGCCTCGAGCTCCAGAGTGATTCCTCAGAGGGTCCGGTTGCACCAGAAAAGGGCATGCTGAGCACAGGGTGGAAACTGGGGGTCCACGGCACAAGCCTGCAGACCAGGACACGGCAGAGGTTAGGCACAGCACAGAGGAAGGACACCTGATTACCATCCAGGAAAAGATTTTCAGAGAGAAATAAAACATGTTTTGGGTTGGGGGGGACAAAACGATCAGGAGCATCACCTCCAAGTTGTTTATGGGGCAGGCAGCACAGCCCTGTCTATACTTTTCTCTACATTCAGACCAAGTTTGGGCAGGTCCTGCCCCAGCATCTACTGACCAAAGGAAGTCATTCAAAGAGCCAGGCTGTGGAGGAGGGGGGTCCCTGGGACACAACCCCAGCAAGACCCCTGAGGTGACCACAGACCACCGGTCCAGCTGTGGGAACTGCCCTCACGGGGGGAGCGCAAACCCCAGGTCTCCTTCATCCAGAAATCACACCACCACAGCAATGGAAATAATCCAGCTTGTTTCCGTGACATGGGCGCAGGGCTATTTTTATTGCTTTATTTTTTCTGCTGCTCCCAATAAGTTAACTGGGGCATGCATTACCCGTCAATAAAATCAATTGAGCAGCCTGAGCCGTTAATAAGCTGAAGGCCAGAGGGCAGAAAAACCTCTCCATCACCCAAAATATTCTTCAGGCAGTGGGGTGGGCGAGCTGCAGGCCCCACACATCGCTCTGACTCGGTGCTGTTCTTGATGTGCCGGGGCACCTTGTGCATTACAAGAGGAAACCTTCCTCTTCCCGGTGACTTGGCAGCCACCGCGCTCATCCCCAGCAACCTGGGCACAAGGGGCTGATGCCACTGCCATGGGAAGCAGCTCATCGGTGGGAGGGGAGACCATGGGACCCCTGAGGTCAGTCTTCAGTCCTGCCTGCTGCTCACAGCAGTGTCAGCACTAAGATCAGACCAAGTTGCCCAAGGCTTTATCCTTTTGGAGCTTGAAAACCTCCCAGGATGGAGACTGCGCAGCCTCTCTCAGTGACCAACTATCCTCAGAATTAATGTTTTTTCCCCTACAAAATCTTATATGTCTCTCTGAACAGCAGACATGTCATCCAAGGTAGCAACTGCATCCCCAGCTGGTGTCACCAGCAAGCAGGACAGGTCCCAAACAAATTGCCAAAAAAATTTGGAAAGGATGGAAAACCCAAACGGTGACTCACCGTTGGAGGAGCCGCGGGGGCAGGTCTGGGAGGCCGCGGGGCAGAGGGCCGGGGTCAGCAGTGCAGGCAGCAGGGTAGGACCTGAAAGGCAGCACAACTTCTCAGCACCCCAGGGTGCCCAGCCAGCACCCTACCCGAGAACCCGCAAGAGCATCCTCCTGGCACTGCCGCCGTGGCCGAGGGAAACCTGGGAGATGGGGAAGCACATGGGTAAAACAGCCCCAAGCAGAGGAATCCTTGGTAATTTTTTTATGCTGATTAGCACAAACTTCTGGTCACTGATTCCAGTATTGAGAAAAAGAAGGAAAACCCCCGACCATGGCACCAGCTTCATCAAAATACGTGTGAACAAGGGGGCTTAGACAAGGATTCAGGATGCTGGAAGGACAAGGGGTCGCAAGAAAACCCCCCGTCCTGCTCCCCAGCGCCAGTGCAGGTGCAAACCCCTCTGTCCCAGCCCCACGGGCACATCCTGCCTCCCCGCTGCCCACACAGACGCAGAGCAGTGACCCACAGCAACGCAGCCCATGAATTCACGAGGAAAGGAACTTTTGTCTTTCAGGTCACAGGTTTGAGTTCATCTCCAGAAAAGGCTTAGCATTCAGGAAATGCGTCATTAAAGAATTTGTCAGCAGTTTTCTTAATCAAATATTGGTCCATCTCCCAGCAGCTCTGCTTCTTGTTATGTTACAATTCTTCCGCCCTTACACTAACATGCTGCACGGTAAGATCCCAACTGCAACCCCATGGTCTTGCACTGTGCACCATGTGCACACCCATGCACAGAAACTCCTGCTTCCAGCACAGCTTTTTCCTCTAAATATTTGGTGTAGATAGAATTGTAAGCCAGTCTCAAAACCTGCTATTTCTATGTCTTGCAGCCCCCTGAGATGCACAGGAGCAGGTCAGTCAAACCGCACACTTGTCTAGCCATGTAACTCTTGTTTTCTGCAATTAAGGTGCAGGTCACCACCAGGTACGGACACGCTTGCGTTTCCCAGAGGGCTGGTGCAGTGATGGGTGCAAACCTCAGTTCCAGCACGAGTACGAGTGCACCTCAAATAATCCCAAAGCTGCCTTCAAGCGGAAACCTCAGCACTGCAAAGCACGTCTTGACGACAGCTGCTTTAAGCATCCCCCAACACCTCCTGCAGGGCTGTTTCCAGAAGACCTCTGCCAGGCGCAGCCATCCAGCAGCAACACCACAGCTGTGGCGGGGGGCCGGGGGCCC